ATGAGTAGCCAAGGTCAGTTTTGAATGGACAAGTGAGGTCTATAATGAGATGAAGAGAGTAGTCAATTTGGAATTCTAATTAGAATTTGTCATTCATTCATTGTTCTCCTCCGGGCAGAATTGCAGTTTCAGCCTCGTTCAAGTCACTCCAACACAACCAACGGGATCCGAGCTGTTGGTAGGCGGGTTCATAGGCAAGCAGTTCTCTCGCTGCGCCCAGTAAGGTTTCGATCTCAAACGATTCTCGATTCGGTATCGTTTAACGCGACACCAAATGAAAATAGTTAATAAAGTTTTATACATTCTTCCTTTACTCATCAAGTATCTACAGCACCACTTTAATGGAGCATTTTTGACAGTCTTCAACTTCGTGTTAACTTTCCAGAAATATTAATTAATTGACAATTGTGGTGCACACTTGAACCAGCTAAAAGTGCTAATTAATAAAGCGTAACTAATTGAAGCAAACAATTAGTTTTTTTCATGTCGTGTCTCCTGTTTGCGTCAGAGTGTAACGAAGGTGAAATAGCCTTGAAAAAAAGACGATGCCGTCATCACCCGTTACCAACAGTATAAATATCCCATGCGCTACCAGCTCGCGCCAACTGGCAACGGCAGCTCTCTTTCAGAATGCAACACATTCGCTTGCTTTTCATTTTGCTCACTAGCCTTATGGCCTCCTTCGGCTGTGCCACAGGTCTCCAGTACCCGAGTAACACAGTTTTTGTTTACTTACACAACTTTTATCGCCACCTGATCGGAGCAGGTGGTATCGCATCACAACCAGCAGCAGTCCAAATGCCTGATATGGTAAATAAAGCTTTGTAAAATGCAAAGATATGAGGCACAATTTGGTCAGGCCAGAGGCGAAATTGGGCCAGACGCGAGCATTTTATCTATTCTCGATTCTTGTGTGGGCACCGCGCCTACATGCCCCAACGGAGGGTGTGATTGCCACTTTCGGCACCGGCGAGCTGAGCCGGCTCCAAGAGGGGAGTCCACATTGAGCTGGCTAGTCGAAGCGATGAGGATGTCGAATCAGTGCTGCTCTCTTCTCAGACTCAAGGCGTAGCAGATGCCGCAAGCGTAGGCAAAAGAGCACGAGTAGGCGAAGAGATAGTCCCAGCTACTAGCACCAACAAGTAGGACGTAGTAAATAGGCGTAAAGTAGGGCAAGCGTCCATCCATAAACTTTAGCCATGCAAATATTACTATTTGCTGCAA